ATATTGACTACATATTGGCCACAACCGGATATTTGGGTAAAATTGGTTCACATAATCCCGTGAATTACGATTCGCTGGGAATTATGTCCGATTCCAATGCCGACACATTATTCTTGTCAATGTCTGTACCAACAATCGGCTCTTCCATCAACACATCCATTGGATCCGCCATTTGTGCCTTCAGTATGAGACAAATCAACAAAGCATTTACCGAAGCGGCCCGCGAGTGCTTCCGCGGCGCCAGTGATAGTAGAGTACATCTTTTGGAAATAATTAACGGCCGTAAAGCGGATTGTAGTCATATTCAATCAGATGTGACCGACAGCTTCTGCGGCACCGGACAGAACCCCTATATCGAGACCAGTAGACCATTAGATGGATTATTCCTCACATCAATTAATGGCAAGAAAATGTCGTTTTATTTATTTAAACAAATTGTAATAATATTTTAATTTTTAAAAATGCAGGTCAAGTGACATCACTGGCCGTTGACGTACACAATACAAGGACTGTGGCCGCCATCGGCACCTCCGACGGAGTGCTGTCCAAAGTGATCATCGATGAGACCGAAGAGTCGGAAAAGTTATTGTTTGAGGAGAAGTTGTCGTCTGACACTTCAAAGCATCAAATGGTTGCTCCGAATCCCGTGTTTGACAAACAGAGACAAAATCTTTACGTTTTATCGGGTAATAAATTGGTTGAAATGCCGTTTGGCTCGTGTAAGATATACGGCACCTGTAGTTCGTGTCTATCATCTGGAGATCCATTGAACTGCGGCTGGTGTGACAGCTACTGCTCTACCAGCGAGGCCTGTGATAAGCCCCAGCTTTTGAATCATCTCGATTGTTTGCCTGAGATATACGACTTTACACCCAAATCGGGTCCAATCACTGGCGGAACTATTGTCACCATTACTGGTGACAATTTGGGTCAGGATTGGGGCGCTTATGAAAACAGCAATATTACAGTTAAAATCGCCGGAATTTCATGTCATGTGATCAGTTGGGCAATGACCAAGGTTCAATGTAGAACTGATTCAGTTCCTAAACCTGTTTCAGGTAAATCTAATTTTAAA